ACATGCATCCACAGTTAAAGGACTATAAGCAAGGAGTCAAAGGCAGAGGTGGCAGGAGCTTGGGCGGCCTTGGTCAGTGTGTCTGGATGTTCAGAAGAACAGGAAGAGTCCTGTTCAGGGAGGGTGGGACTTCTGTTCTGGTTGCTGGGGAGGAACTGACAGAAGTCAATGAGGTATAAACTATCCTCTCAGAGGGGGGCAGGCATGGTGTTGGTAGACACTTCCAAAAACTGAAGCTGCCCCTTCTCTAAAGCCACAAGAACCGCTGACAAAGATTCTTTACCTGGGGCCACATTCTCCTTGACAGCTCTTAGGCCAGAAGCAGCAAGGCTAATCAGGGAAGGTCCCAGCCCGGTCCTGGGGGATGCAGGACTCTGGTGATGGTCTATTTCCTTTGAAAGATTTATTTATCTTGATTGTATGTGTGTGGGTGTTTTGCCTGAGTGTATATCTGTGCACCGTGTGCACGCCTGGTGTCCTCAGAGGCCAAAAGAGGACACTGAACTGGAGTTACAGATGGTTGTGAGCCACCATGTGGGTGCTGTGAATCAAACCTGGGTCCTCTGGAAGAGCAGCCAGAGCTCTTAACCACTGAGCCCAGGACCCCTAGTGGTCTGTTTTTGATTCCCTGATGTTTCTAACAACCCTTTTTTTAAAGTTACATCACGGCCATACACTAACCTTCCTTCCCTCTGTCTCCATCACTCAGAAACAGACATGAGCATCAGGACTGATACGCCCACCACATCACACCCTTCCCCCTCCCCCTCCCCAGCTCTTCCACTCCCACCATCCCACCACCACCCCTAGTGAACTCAGACCCACCTCCTGCTTTCTCACAGGGGTTTCCTGACTAAAAGCCTTGCCTCTTTGAGGAACCAGCTCCTCACAGATGTCTAGGAAGCTTCTGGAATGACCAGTCCCTGGGGATTAAGACTTATTGCTGGGTCCAGACAAGAACCCTCAGGCCCCCCCCCATAGGAAAAGGGGAGGAAATGAAGGAGCAGGGGAGAGGGAAGGTGCCTGGGCCTGGCGAGTCCACAGCCTTCCACACTGGCCTGCTTCATTCCTGAGATCCCCAACTGCGCTAAGGCAGGAAGGAACCCCCCCCCATCCTGCTGCAACCTGGTGGCCACAGCAGACAAAACTGAAGGACAGAATTCAGTGTTGCTGCCCCAAGCCCCTAGTACAGGAGAGGTTCTCATTGGGATCCCCAGGTATCTTTATCTGATAACAAAAACTTACCTCGTGGGCTGGAGAGATGGCTCAGAGGTTAAGAGCACTGACTGCTCTTCCAGAGGTCCTGAGTTCAATTCCCAGCAACCACATGGTGCCTCACAACCATCCGTAATGAGATCTGGTGCCCTCTTCTGGCCTGTAGGCATACATGGAGGCAGGATGTTGTATTCATAATAAATAAATAAATCTTTAAAAAAACTTACCTTGTGTGAGAGTTAACTCAGATAATTGTTGTTGTTATGTGCTTGACCTCTCTGTGGTAGATACATGGGAGTCATACTTTCTGTCTCTGCTAACGTCACCCACCTAGAAACTCATCTTGATGCCATTTCCCTCCAGCTTCCCTTCATGACTTCCCACTCCGTGGCCCACTCACCCTGCTTCTTCGGAACCACCGTGAGCTTTCCCCCTCTCTCCAGGTGGCTCTTCTCAAGCTTGGCACACATTCCACTATCCTCCCCAGCTTGTCAGAGCCTCATGAGCCTGGAAAGCTCTGAAGATTTTCAGGGTGGCCATGGTGAGAAACAGGCACATACTGATGACACACATCGGTAGCCATCCTTCAGCTCCATGCTAGGATAGCACCAGACAAAATTCTCATGCTAATGGAGCAGTGGGACCAACTCACTAAGAGTTGGGCTTTTGGCTCTGATGGGCCACATGGCCTGCCATTAGTCCACTCAGGAGTTCTTTCATTCAACGACCTCCAAACCTTCCAGCCCATGGGCACCACCACAGTCTTCTGGTTCTAATCACTAGGGTGGAGCTACATAGACACAGTTCTCCGTGCCAGTAAGAGACAGTGTCAACACAGGCCTGGCTGAAAGCGTCTGCCTTGGCATGAACTGCAGGAGCGGGACTGCACAGGGGCAGATGCCACAGGAAGACGTGAAGCCTGGCCTGTGCTTTAAGAATACAGTTTATACAGCCTCCATTTGGTGTCTTAGGCCTGAAAAACCCTCCAGGTTGAGGGATGCTATTGTCTTCAACACTGCAGACAGTAGATTGCTGTGGGATGTCTCTCTGAATGCTGTCAATATGTGTTGCTCTCATTGGCTGATAAATAAAGCTGCTTTGACCTATGGCAAGACAGAGCCAGGCAGGAAATCCAAGCAGAGATACAGGAGAAGAAGGGCAGAGTCTGGGAGATGTTGGCAGCCACCCAAGGAGCAAGATGCCAGAGTACTGGTAAGCCATCGGTCTCCTGGAGATAAGCAGATTAATAAAAATGGGGTAATTTAAATGTAAGAGCAAGCTAGTAATAAGCCTGAGCCATCAGTCAAGCATCTATAATGTTAAGCTTGTAAGTGGTTATTCGGAAACTGGCAGGTGGGAGAGAAACCTCCAGAAACATACCATGGCAATGAAGAGAGCCAGCATCAGATCCAGGAGTTTCGTTCACATTCAAGAGTCTGAGGTCAAGAGGAGTCTGAGCCTGAAGCTTCCCCCAGCCATACTGTTTGCTCTTTTTTTTTAACAGGGTGAGTTAAGAGTTCCCTGAGACTTGGGAACTTGGAGAAATGTCAAAACATCATGAGATTTATATTTGATTTGTGACTTCCTTAGGAAGTTTGGACAGCAGAGGAATGAGGGTGCCTTCTGAGATTTCTCAACTCATGCTGCATAGCCTGCCCCAAGGGGCGGTGTAGTGTGACCCACACACAAGGATTCAGTACTGTGTAGAGAAGAGCAATGGCATGGTGACTAAGAGTAAAGATCATGGTCTGAGCTCTCAGAGTGGGGAGACTTGTCACCTGAGGGATGTCCTCAAGCCCATTCAGACCCTGCTAATCACAGGCCTCCTCCAGATTTGAGAATTGCCCAAGGGAATGGGAAACCATCTCGTGTTCCTCTCTCTGCTTCTCAGGCACCATGCTGCTGCCATCCGGCTCCTGACCCCGTCCCAGGGTCCAGTTTTATAAGTCTGGAGTCCTTGAGCAATTGCTCAAAAGGCTCTTGGCCGAGAGCCTGCAGCTCCCTCCCTCCTTGCTCAGCTGATCCAATGCGAGCTGCTGCACCCTGGCCCAGCTCCCCACCCTTCTCGAAGGGAAGCGGTCACCACAGTGCATCTCACTGGATGGTTCAGTGGAGAGATGGGCACTTGTCCTTCTCGGGAGGTCAGTCCTCAGATGCAGACCATGAAGGGAGTCACCCCTTTCCAGTGCCGGGTTCCTTGGGAAGGAAATTTGTGTGATAGGTTCAAGGGTATGACATCTACCTTTTCTTCCCTGTCTTAGAATTTAGGAGACACAGTTTAATCAGGGAGTGGAGACTACACCAGTCAAAATCTCTGCCTGGGAATACTTAGGGCTGGAGACGTTCAGGTTGCTATGCTTTCTAACCCTGAAGGTGGACTTTAAGCCAGTGCAGCTAAAGTAGTCCTAGGTAAAGGACCATGGTCAGAAAAGTCCTCTGCAGCCATCTCTGATAAGGGCCTGTAGAATAACCGCCAACACTACCAGCACCAGCCCTGTTCTGGACAAAGCTCTTGCTTATATGTAAACCTGGACAGTCGAGCGAGGGCTGGAGCTGGGCACAGGCATGTGAGCAGAGGTCCATGCCAAGTCTCCATTCAGAAAGCCAAGCAAGAGGGAATGCAGACCAAGCTCAACAGCTCCCACTTCATGCCCAAGCTTACATCTCTAAACCTAGTGCTAAGCCATGTCCCAGGAAAAGGTGACCAGATCATCTGGTACAGAGATCTTCTAAAGGTCCCAAGTCACCTCACCCTTGCCCTAGGCTCTGTGAAATGTCCTCCCTACCAGACCATAGCCTGTTTACTTTAACTGAGTCCCACATTCTCAAGAAATACGTGTGTGTGTGTGTGTGTGTGTGTGTGTGTGTGTGTGTGTGTGTGTGTGTGTGTGACCACAATGAACCATGAGACCAAACTTCAGGAAAGCAAAAGCAGCCTGGACTCTTCAGTCCTGTCCCTGTCCCCATCACCAGCAGACCCTGTTTGTCTCCTAAGATCTGGTGCGGGGCTTCCCTTTGCCTCTGTCTTCCCTGAGCTACAATGGTGCAGTGGAGAGCCATCTTCTCCAATCACTAGGGCAGCTCAAGGAGGCACAATGAAGGGCTTGAGATGATTGACTGAGCTGGTGGGAAGGAACACCTCCATCCTGCCCATCCTTGGCCTTGGTCTTCACCCTAATCCATGTGCGTATTTCTCCCCACACCAGCCATCTGTCTGTCTGTCTGTCTGTCTATCTATCTATCTATCTATCTATCTATCTATCAATTTTTAGTGGATATCAAATCAGAGCTACCACAGAGTTCTGCAGCCCTCCCTTCCCCTAACTCACACACTGCCCTTTGATCAACTCAACAGTGGGAAGTCTGGACATCCCTTTTCGGGTTCCATCTGACCCCAGCACTTCTCTCTGCTTTTCCTCCCTCCCTTTCCCCCTCCCTCGCTCCTTCCTTCTCTCCCTTCCTCACTCCTCCTTTCTTTCTATTCTGTCTGCATAATATCCTCACTCCCCTTTCCCCCTTTCTCCCCCTTCTTTAAATCCCAATTCTAGCTTCCTAACAATTCTTATCCTTTTTTTCCATGGCTCTCAGAAAGAGAGAAAGAGAGAGAGAGATTGAGAGAGAGAGAGAGAGAGAGAGAGAGAGAGAGAGAGAGAGAGAGAGAGAGGGAGGGAGGGAGAGAGAGAGAGAGAGAGAGAGAGAGAGAGAGAGAGAGAGAGAGAGAGAGATCAGACAGGATTGATGACCATCCCTGTATCCTTCCTGCTCCCTCCCCTAGGTGAGCTCAACTCCCCCACCCAGACAGGAGGCAGAGGCTGAATGAGAACAGCTGCTCCTAGACACCATTCGGTGGGCCATCTGCTATTAGAGCCAGGCTGGGCCTTTGTCCCCGTTTCCTGTGAGAGTGGGGCCAGGTCTCCACCTCCTTCCCTGTGAATATTATGGAATGTCTCAAGGGGCAAGAGCTGCAAACACTGGGGAGTGGAGCCTGGGACAATCCTGCCTACAGCAGCCCCCCTTCCCCGAATGGAACCCTGAGGATCTGCACTGTCTCCAGTGGGACACTCCCCCAGCCTCCACCCAAGAAGCCTGAAGACAGATGCCAGGAGAAGACACAGAGAACATTGATGTCAAGCTGCTGTCTCCATATCTGTCACAGCATCAGAGGTACTGGGCGTGAGGGGAGGTTCTCCAGAGGTGTTAGAGTCAGAAAAGGGACCAATAAAGGTTTGATGGGGCGGGGGACAAAAGTGACCCAAAGAAGAAGAAATCTTTGCATCTACAAATTGTTTGTGTTAAGAGTTGCTTGCCCCAGCACAGAGGCTAGGCTCCTGGTCTACCTTTAGAAAGCTCACTTTAGAGTCATCACTTGGGGACCCAGAGGTTGTGGGGGAGTGTGGGCTGTGGAGCCTGAGGTAAGAGGTGCCACCTGAAATGATGCCCATCCCTTTCGAGGCTTCCCTCGATCCAGTGTCCTCACCCTGTCTCCCACAGGGACACTGTAGGAGGTAGGCAGGGGTGTGGGTGGAGTAGCCAGGTCCCAGGGGTCATAGGACGGGCATGGAAGGACAGGGTGGAGACGGGGTGAGGTCTAGGCACAGGTAGGAATGGATAACTGGGAAGATGAGCTGTTGGGGACTCCGAGCATCTTTCCACTCCCTTAGGACTCTGGGGAACAGCGCTGACTGAGAACACAGCTGAGAACAGGGAACTCTATGTCAGGACCACCCTGAGGGAACTTGTGATATACATCGTGTTCCTCGTGGATATCTGTCTGTGTGAGTAGCCACTGTCCTATGGGCATCTACCTGTGAGAGGCACGCATGTCTGTACTCAAGTATGCAGGCAATGCTTAACCATCTGTGAGAGGTGTGCAGATCCTGGGAATTCTGTGCACACACCAATATACAGCTCCCATGGCTTCTCACACTGAGTGCAATGGAGGAAACCTAGCTGGTAGAGAAATAAAAGAACACTTCTCCCAGATTACTGAGTAACTCAGTTTTCAAGGTCAAGTGCCTAAGACTGCGCCAACAGCCATGGTGTGTTGACAGGCGGGGATGTTTAAGCCCTTTCTGTTTAGTGGGTTTTTGTGTGATTCGTTTCTGTATAGCATGGGATTCATGTTTCTTTAGGGGCAGGAAGAAAATGACTCAGGTCTTAGAGAGTTCCTGAGAAGAGGGTTGGGGTTCGGTGATGTGGCGGTGCCCTATGGGAAAGCCTGCACCACATGGGCAGCTGGGGCAGTCTCTGTGGGACAGGGCCGGGATGCTCTGGTGGCCAGGTTCAGAGAAGGAGAGACGTAGACCGTGGAAAGATGGCGCCAAGGAGCACGCAAGGTGAGGAAGCTGGAGCGCGTGGACTGTTTGGCCTGTAGGTGAGGCAGTCAGCGCTGCGTTCAGTTTAGGGCCGTTTGCCTCATGCAGCTGTGTTCTGCGGGCTGGCCAAAGCTGCAGCTCGCACTCCCCTAACTGCAGCACCTCCCTAGCTAGCTGGCATCTGTCCTCTCGCCAGCACGTCACTTTTGAGGGTACACAGACCGTTGGCACGTGAACGCGAAGGCCTGATCACGCAGGTGTTGATGGGTACTGCCATCCGTCCGTTCATTTACGCCAGCCACCACAGTCGCGCACTCCTTCGGTGGTTGATGAGCTTGCTTGGGCTGCTTGGAGCATTTCCCCCCCACCGCAAGACGCACATCAGGATGCAGAGATGACAGGATGAGGGCTGTGGGCCCCATTCGAGCCCTTTGAGCACATGACTACCAGAGGCTGGTTTGTTAATGTGTCTTCTGCTGTCACCATCTGTTAGAGCAGGAGGTTCCTCCCCTCCTCATACCCGTGACAGCTGCCAAAGCTCACAAAGAAAGCCTTTCTCTGCAAATAACTGCCATTCAACTACACAAGCTGTGAACAGGGCTAGAAGTTTTCCAGCTCTCCAGCCGCAGTGGATCATCCTGACTCCTGGGTATGGGGCTAGAAGGATGGAGGTTTGAGTCGTATCCGCCGGTTAGCTTGTGAGCTCACTGCGTGCTGTGGGCCAATGGTCTGGCCCAAGCTCACTTGCTATAGGAGAATCCTAGAGAATAGAGCTCACTGACTATTGGAGAATCCTAAAAGGACAATTCAGACAGTGTGCAGGTCAAAGATACAGATGGCTCAGCGTCACTTCATCATGGCCCCTCCCATAGGGCTCTGTGTCCCACCCTGGAGGGCACCATGAGGATTCACAGGAAGCCAATTCTACTGTGGACAGCTCTACCTTCTTCCATTTATGGAGGCCCCTTCTCTGTGCCCGACATTGGACAGAAGGCATATATGTGGCTTTCTGCTCTGGGAGCTAACCTCATTTCTAGACCTTTCTTCTTTTGCACCATATGCCTCTCTGTTCCCTTCAAAGCGTTAGCCTCTAAGAACTGGTGCCACGCCTGCACCACAAGTCCAGGGTATCAGGAAAAGACAAGACGTCCAGCTGCTTGTCCTAAGAGAATGCATGTGTTGCCTTTATTGCCGAGAGAGAGAGAGAGAGAGAGAGAGAGAGAGAGAGAGAGAGAGAGAGAGAGAGAGTGTGTGTCTTTATTGCAAGTGCTAAGAGGTCTCTTGTAAGAGGGAGCAGTCTTATATTCAGGTTTACAGCACAGTGGAAAAAAAAACCCAGGTGGAACAGAGCCTGTTTTCCTCGTGCTAGATGTTGATGTCAATGGGGCAATTCAGGGGGCAGTAAGCCAGGACTAGAAAACAAGATGCACCTGTGGGCTATCAACTGACAAACAACTCAGAGGCCCTGTGGGGCCCCAACAGGCTGGAGTGAATATACAGTGCAGCCTCTTCCCCAAGCCCAGGAATTAATCTTTTTCTCATGAAAGAAGTCATTGCCACATAGTGACTAAGGGTGGCTTATGTAGAGATTGAAGTCTGGGCTCTGAATTTGCAGATTTAGGCTCATCTGGGGGACCTTGAACTAGTTGCTTAACCCCTTTGAGTCTTAGTATCTCCATCTATACCTACCTGATCCAACAAGATTATGTGGCCATCACAAGGGCCATTGGCTCAGCTTGGCATGTTGTGACAACAGTTTCAGATGCTCACTGTGTGTTGCCTGATCTCAGCCCTGATCGGTTTGATGCCCTTTACTGGAAGAAATGTACCAAGGAGCATCTGACTGCCACAGTACCCTGTGGCATCATTACCTGTTGTAAGCAGGCGTGTTACGACGTGTCAGTTCTCACAGAGCTGAGTTCTCTCGCTCCTGTGTGCAGCTACCAATTTGCCCCACTCCCTACGACCCAAACATGAGACAACCGTGAATTATGACTCTTATCCTCACAGAGGCCACATGATATGGACCTTACACACACAGCCCCATGAAAATCTATTAGCTTCGTCTAATCTGAAGGGACTGCCTCGCCCGCCTCGAACTCTGCCCTACCTCTATCCTCATGGTTGCCTACGGCTATGATACCTTTCTCTTTACTGGTGAAGTGCTTCTGTAGACCTAAGCCTTGCTCTCCTACCTCAGGCCCTGATTCTGGGAGTCTTTTGACGAAATTTATCTGAAGAGAAATTCATCTCCATTTCCTTTTTACAAACCTGCCTTTCTATATAACAAAAATTATTTGTGGAGATATCATGTGGGAGGACCATCACTCAATCTCTGGAAGTAATTTATCTTTGTATTCTCCAGTGGAATCACAACACTCTCACATGGTCCCCTTGCCTGGTTTTAAAAATAAATAAGAACAAAAATATTTAAAGGAAGAAGTCAGTGTGAAAACATTATGTAATGCATGATTCCATCTGCATGGCATTCTGGAAGAGACTAAGAGCTGGCAGTGGTTGCCTGGGGTTGACGGCAGAGAGAGATGAATAAGAGGGGTTTTAAAGGACAGTGGGTGGTCTCCTTGTGTCAGTTACACAGTGTCAGGTTCATTTTATAACCAGTGCATCTTTCTGGTTGGGATTCTTATACAGGAATGACTGTGTTTAATTTGGGGCCCAGAGGAGTATTTGGAAACTCTATGCCTTTTATTCAGTTTTACAATAAACCTAAAACTTCTTTAAAGAAAGAAAGAAAGAAACAACAACAACAAAAAAACAAAAACAAAATCAGACTGGGTGTGATGGCATACACCTCAAAAGTAACCTTTACAGTTAATTAGAAAATACTATAAGCCTGGAATTGGTGGCGCACGCCTTTAATCCCAGCACTCGGGAGGCAGAGGCAGGTGAATCTCTGTGAGTTTGAAGTCAGCCTGGTCTACAGAGCGAGTTCCAGGACAGCCTCCAAAACAATACAGAGAAACCCTGTCTCGAAAAACAAAAACAAACAAACAAAAAAGAAAGAAAAAGAAAAAAGAAAGCATTATAACTTCTAAATAACTAAAGAAGAAGAGGTTTAAGGATTTTTAACAACAAAAAATGATGAGTATTAGAGGAAATGGATGTTCTGATTCATCTTATTTGGTCAGCACACACACCGTAGACATGGAAGGAAACATTGCATTGCCCCATGCATTCATAGTGAGAGCAGAAACATCCGGGCTTTACTGATCTGTTTCCAGAGCAACAAGCACCTTGTCACCATTTGCTCTGACACTTTCTGTGAAACTAGTTCAATTTTTACTCCCACTTCACAAACAAGGAGAAGTTTCAGTGAGTCGAAAAGCTTCCCTGGGGACAGGAAGTGAGAGGAGGAAGCAGGAAGCCAGTTCAGCAGCCATTGGGTCTTCTCCAAGGTTGAGATTTTGAATGAGTACACTGGGTACTTCATGTTACCTTACTGACAACTGTCCACATCCTAGCTCAGTGATTAAGAAGTGTTTATTCTCATGACCAAGCACTTTCCCATCATCATCTAGTTGGTATCAACTCCCTTCCCTACCCAAGCAGAAGAAAAGTCTTAAGAGAATGCCACTGTCTACAGTTCTTTCTTCTGTTGCTATACTTAAAACACGAGGTAAAGTCATTTTTATTTATAATCCATCTCTACCTTGTCCAGAGGCATTTAAAAGAATTTTTATACTACCAACATTTATCTATACATATATACATTCCACACTTTCATATATAATTACATCAGCAATACTCTCTAAGTAGTTGGTATATTTTAATTGTATGATTACAGTTATATCACAGTTAATTTAAATTTTCTCTTTATTACTTGAGTATTTATTATGGGTAAGTATGTCCATACCTGTTGCCTTCTCTTGCTTTTGTTAAATTTGTTCCTTGGGCATTTTCTGAGAAGATTAAACCCAAAGATAGGGCTATCTTCTTGGTGCTGTGTGTTGCTGTTGGCCTCTGTTAAGTATTATATATATTTATTACAGCACTATGACTATAAGATCACACCAGTATAAGACTCCATCAAAACTGGATGTTCTCATTAATAATTTTTAGTATTAAGTAGGTATAAAATGATACAATGATCTGCCTTAATTTTCTTGTCTTTGATTCATGATGGGGGATAGACAGTTTTCTTATGGCTACTTTGTGATTCAAACCCATTTTGTACAAATTGCATAAGACAGACTTTCCTGGGAGGAGAGGGGGATTTTAGGAATACAGAATTGTTAGATCTGTTGTGGGAACCACCTACTAGGGCCTTCATTTCGGAAACTGGGACTCTGGGAGTGGGACGAATAGCCTATGAAGTTGGACCTTGCCTGCCTGGCAGTCGGGCCTGAATGAGCCCCAGTGAACTAACTGTTGCAGGCAGCCATTCAGACCCAATGCCCTCTCCCTTATGTTTTGCTCTAGCAACTTGATGATTATCTGGT